AGTAGTCAGCTTTCTTTCCCTAATGGTTGTCTTCCGGTTGCTTATCAAAATTTGCCCTCCCAGGACAGCATTATTTTGGTTTTAGCCAACGCTGCTATCTTTCTTACGTGTTTTATCCTTTCCTCCCTCGGTTATTTTATTGGTTTGGATAAATCGACTTTGGTACCTTGCAAGCAAGTCCCTTACTTGGGTTTTATTTCCGATTCTGAGAAACAGGCCTTCATTTTATTGCCTCACAAGAAAAAAAAGTTTCTTACTCTTCTCCAGCAGGCTCTTAGTTCAGAATCCATCGACCTGGTTACTCTCCAAAGGTTAGGAGGGAAGTGCATTTCAATGGTTCTAGCCGTGCCAGGTGCAAGGCTTTATACAAACGAAATTAACTTGGCCCTTTCTCGTGCTGTGCGCTCATCTCGACCGGTCAAATTATCCGGGCCCTTGAGACAGGAGTTGGAGCATTGGCTCTTTTTGGAAACCTGGAACGGCTTCCTTCCTTGGCGTTCCGAGAAACACTGCCATTTTCGTTTGTTCCCGGATTCTTCCTCTTTTGCTTGGGGTGGTGTATTGAGTCCGGGTGCCATTACTGTTAGCACTTCCGACTACTGGGATTCTTCTGTTATTGGGGCCGACATTGCTACCAAGGAAACTCTTGCCCTCAACAATGCCTTACAATCCTTTGGGAATACGGTCAGAAACTCATGGGTGGATGCATTTGTTGACAGTCAGGTTTTGCTTCACTCTTGGAACAGGCGTGGTTCCCGTTCCCACTCTTTGGTGACCGCTCTTAAGTGCTTGTTTCAAACTACCATGCATCTTAACGTTGATCTGCATGTCTACTATGTTCCTGGCCCTGAGAACCCTGCGGATTCTCCCTCCCGTGGGCTAAGCTTTCAGGACTCTAGACTTAGTCCAAAAACGTGGGATTTGGTCCAAAGTCTGTATGGCGGTCCTAAAGGTCACTCCGTTGATCTTATGGCACGAGCTTCAAATGTCCAAACTGACCTATCTGGCAAACCTCTACCATTTTTTTCTGAACGTTCTTTAGTTAATGCTTTGGGGGTTAATGTGTTTGCACAATCCCCTAACTTGTATCGACCTGAGATTTTTTCGAATCCTTACGTTTTCCCGCCCATTTGCCTTATTCCCAAGGTCTTTAAGTATCTTAATAGCCTTAAGTTGCCATACACCCTTGTTGTCCCAGACGTGATCCCACGTCGTTTTTGGTGGCCTTTGCTTCTGTCTGCATGCTCTTCCAGCTCCTTGCTAGCCTCTAAAGGGGCTAGTGGCGTTCTTCTCACCCCTTCCATCTATCTTGGGTGGCAGGCCGATCCCCTGGGACCTTTGGGTTTTCCGGATTTCAAATAATTAGACTCGCAGTATTTCATACTGTTTAAGGATTATCAAGCAAGCAAATCCATTTTGCTGTTGCATTTAATGTGTTTCTGTCATTAAGATGTAATTTCAATAAAGTCATCGAGTCTTGTACTTTTCGTCTCTCCTTGATTTTATTTAGTTATTTTCAACTATATTTGGTATTTATTCTCATTTAGTCTTTCATCTGTCTTCCCTATTAGGATCTCCCACAAGTACAGCGGTTTTTTATCCCCGCTGTAGCTTGCCCTTCATGTGCTTATACCAACGACCATTTGTTTCGTTTTTGCCAAATGTGTGGCTACAAAAGAAAGTCAGTCCCACGTCAGCCCGCCTCGAAAATAAAAGTGGATCTCGCAGCCATTGATGCTCGTTTGCAACAGCTTACACAAACGGCCAACACGTGTTCGTATTCAAAGCAAAAATCCTCTTTGCGCGTGGAGTTTCAAACCTTTTTAGCCTCTTTGCCTAATACAAAGTCTATCTATTCCGCCACCCCCGAAGATGTTTCGCGTTTTCTGATTTGAAAAGATCGTCACGGGAAAAGGGTTGTCCATGTAGCTGAATGTGTAAATGCCCCAAACCAAAATGCTTCTGATTGCGGTTGCCCCAAGCGACTCGCGTTTAAAACCGTGGATTCCTATATTGGAAAACTTCGTGCAATATTTAACGAGGCCGGCCGTTCTGGCGAATGGAATGGTATGCTAGGTTTTGGTAATCCTGCTGTTTCTTCTCCAGTCCAAGGTTATCTTATGGCTGTATCTGAGGAACAATTGCGTGCTCATATCGTCCCCAAGCAAGCAGTCCCGTTTTTTCTACCGAAGCTCTTACTTCTGGCAAGGTTATGGGATAGAAAAATGGCGGATCCGGCAGTCAGCCCTTCCGCTCTCTTTATTCTGGCTCGAGATCAAGCATTCTTTAAAACTCTATTCTTCAGCGCGGATAGAGGTTCTGATCTGAGATGTGTGAAAACCGCAGAAATTATGCGTTTCCCTAAAGACGCTGGCTTTTTATTTAATCATGTTTCGGGTAAAACTTTACGAGACGGCGCCTATAACGTCTTTGGAATTCGTCGCCATTCAAATCCCCAGCTTTTCCCGGTAAAGGCAATTGAAACATATGTGGCTGTCGCCTCAGAACTACGCATAACTCTCTCCAACGGCTACTTATTTCGCCCCACTAATCACCAGGGTCATATCGTCAATAAGCCCCTTACAAGTTCTTCCGCAGAAGCCCGCTTGAAATATTATTTAACTCTGCACGGTTTCCGCTCGGGCTCCGCCATTACCCTCGCTTTGTCTGGATCACAGCTCGCTGATGTGATGTCCCACGTGGGTTGGTCCAACAAGGGTACTGCCCTTTACTACATGAAGTTAGCTGAAGTTCTTCGTGAAGGATCTCCTTCTGACTTATTGTCTTCAAACGAGTTGGCGGCCTCCGCCTCCACAACTTTATATGCGGATCTTAATCGCTTAAAAGACTTCGTTTCTGCGTTTCCTCGTTCCTAATTTCTGTTTTGTAACACTAACTACTCATGTGATAAATATCAACCACTAATGCAATACTAACATTACTGTAATAAACATCAACCACTAAAAGTTAACCACAGTTCATTTTGTGTGTGCTCATGTTCTTTATGCGCTTCAGGCTTCCTGTATAAAATGCTTTTAAATACAGTTGCCAGCATTCTACTACTGAACCTGGACAAAAACAAAGGCTGCCTTTCTATGATATTTCATTTGTTGTTAAAAAAAAAAAAAGAAGTTTTTTCCGGATATTATAGGACAAGTTGGTACACGTCCCAGAAGTAGAAGCACTATTATATCGTGTTGGTCATGCGTCCGGTGCCTAATACTTAACGTACAGATCGATTCATATGTTAGTGTGCGCACTATACATACCTCCATGACTAGTACATTTTAGTTTGAATTTATCGCATCTTTTGAATGTAAAACATTAACAATACTCACACTGAAATGTACTAGTCGTGGATATATTTGTTGTCTGCATTAATTTGGAAAAATTAGCATAACGTCAAAACAGTGAATGCTGTAGCGTGGATTTTTGACCGGTTCGTAGGTTAGGTTTGCCTTTCAATTTCAAGGTGTTGCAGTAAATCAATCTAATGGAAGTTTCAGACTTTCTTATATACATTATGAAGATTATGTGAAGAGATTTAAAAAAAATTTGTTCGAGTCGTTTAAGAGATGTACAAAAAAGCGCTAAAAGTCCAAATTTTGAATGAAGTTGCACTTATACAAGTGGTGAGAAAACGGGTTAGTTTTCAAGATATCAAGAACGAAAATAAACCAAAATTTCCTAGCATTAAAATATGATATTAAGCAGCATTCTGACGCTGCTTAAGAATAATTTGAGTCATTTGTAACTTTTTTTATTAAATAAACTATCACGGCTATTGAAAATTTAAGGTTTGAAATATATTTTCGTTTTAGTTGAATTTAAACATACAACTACGGAGATTGTTTGCTAAACACCAAACTTTAAGTTCCTAGTGTTGGATTTTCGGTAGCGGGTCTAGATCACTCAAAATTCGGCTTTTATCAGTTTCAAAGTTTTTTGTTTATTGTTCTCATAGTAATATCGATTTTACTTAAAACTGCATTTTCACAAATTTCTATCCATAACCAATTACTGGTGAAAATTTAATAGCGATCGGAGAAGGAAAAAAACACTTTTAAGGCGATTGAAAAATATCGGTATGGCCTCTGAAAAACTGTATGGAAACACCTTTAGCTCAGTTCACCTGCGATTCGTTAAAAATGATCAGAACATCAAAGCAAATGTAAACAATACAGTTTGTATAGCAAGTCAAAAGAATATCTACTGCCTATATCCACCTCATTCAACATCAGTTAACAAGGAAGTCATTGATGATTTCGGTGGGAACTGCAAGGGAGTCTGTGTTAGTGAGGAAAAGGGGAAAGGTTCTGTCGTCACTATACCGGATAGGTATGAATTGAATTGAGTTCTTGCCTTGACTAAAACAACTCGGAAATTAAGGAAATCAAATAATTCATTAATGTTTATTACCGATCATGACGAAAATAGTTTCGATCACCAACAACAATTAGCTTTATTTTCATTACTATAACAAAGTATTACAGTATAGCAAAAGCTACTTGAATTTAATTATTGATTCCTTTTTAAATAGTTAAAATAACTTTAAATATAATAATCATTGCTTATTTTCAACCATCAGCAAGATTAATTATTCCGATCATTCGCTGATAAGACTGAGTGTCAAATCAGCCATTGCAAAGCTATCTTTTAAAAAGTCCATTACTTTACCAAAGAACAATAACCAGCCAAAAAACATACATAGGCTGGGATAGTGACTTTCACTCGAATAGTAGGTTGGGTGCCCTGTGGTAGGTTTGTCAAGAGTTCCTGTGGAGGTTTGTGTTAGTTAATGAATGTTTGGACAATTTAGGCTTCTGGGAAACTGCCCACCTACCCCTCCCCTAAGCTAACATTAACACTAACTTCTCGCTTAGGGCAAAATGATGGCTTAGGGGAGGGAAAGGTGGGCAGTTAACCAGAAACAGAAATTGCGAATGTTTGCTGAAATAACGAATTTCCCTTTTTATTCTTTCCTTTTTTACGCGATAGATGTGTCACCCACAGGGACCCTAGACTGTGAAATAAGTGCACAGAAATGCCAACCGCCTTTTCAGACGATAACAGTAACGCCCAAAGACTCTAAAGTGACTTTGAACTGCTCTATTAAGAATGGGGGAAAAGTACAAGACATGACCTGGCAGTACATTGAAAAACACCTCAATGCCAGTGACTCCGGTCTGTTCTTACAACAAATCGATTCAAAGAATGGAAGTCAGCCACGTGAATGTTTTTCTATAAAATACGCCAGTGAGTATGTTCTTCTTTTTCCCTGTCTGTATTAAATTGATGGAGAGAAAAATATCATAATGCGCCCATCAGTTTTTTTGTATGTCCTATTTTTTAAATGGATTATAACGCATCCTATGAATGCCTCGTAACAGGTTTAGGCAGATTCAAGGTCAGCTGAGGCAATTTTTACTGTTGGATTTATATTGAAGTTATAGCCAGCTGAATCACCTCACTTTGAACATGGTTCACCGCGAAACTCTAGTTGCTCATGCCATGCTGGAAGGCAAAAAAAGCAAAGGGACATGATAAACAACAAACAAAGGAATCATTTTAAATGATGTTAGCTTTTTGCTTGGCTTGACTCAGTGCGCAGGACCTCGCTCTCCAGCATGGCAGGTTTGTGCAACAAAAATGACTTACTGCAAAGGGCTTATTCAACATCAACAAGGCATGGAGTAAAACATGGTTGGTCCGTTTGACTGTAATTATCTTAAAATTCGTGAGCTAAGCAACGACGACGACGACGACAGCAGTGAAAATGTCGCTAAAAAATTAAATTTGCCTCGTTTCAAATGTTATCGCGTCTACTTGGAGCTGCTTTATAATTTGTCAAATGTAGGCGATTTCGCCTGGAGTTGAATTTTTAAGGACTTTAGCCAGGTTCAGAAAGAGGAACAAGAATTCGTTGTCGTATGTTCACTTTCTCTATAAAACGTCGCATTAGGAGGTTTCACTTCATAGTCGTGCAGTGAACGTCTAAGAAATGTACTAAGAAGCTTGACGCACGTGCAGCAACTGTTGTTTTCATCTTAAAACCAATTGTTTTTCGACGATGTTGTCGTGGTGGTTCAGATTTTCACTTTTCAGATTTTGATATTTTTTTTGCACTAATTCAAGAGCTATAAAAATTACAACTATATTACAAAAACAGTAAGAAGAAAAAAGCAGCCAATTACATAAATGCTGATCAAAGGTAAAATGCGCGCAGCGCCCTAAGGAGCTTAGACTTTCGAGTTCGCCACTTAAGCTCCCTAGTTTAAATGACATTGGTGCATTACTTACGAGCTTTGATATTAAGGGGAAGAATTCCTTCTTAGTTCCAGTTGAGAGAGTATATATGACAAGTTCTCCCGTTGTCTTATATCCTGACGGGAAACTAGAGGACGGAAAGGAACTGAAGTGTACCTTCAAGGGATGGCCTCTTCCTCGTGTAGTTTGGTACAATCCAGATAAAAAACAAATCATCAACGGATCTGAAGGTTTTTACATCTCAGAGCAGCTGTTTGGAGAGGATACCTTAAGTTCCGTTCTTCTCAATCATAATATCCAAGAAAAACAAGCAGGGGCTTACAAATGCACTGGAATGAACAACATTACCGGCTGGTCGACTGAAAAATCAGTGATAATTGAGCTGTATCATCGCTGTGAGTCATTTAATTTCTTATTTCTCCTTATATACACGGATGCACAAAACCACCTTAATTAACAGTACCTCCTTTGAATCGGGTTCATAAAACGATAATGCCGTGTTTGCCCTGTAAGCAATAGAAAGTAACCCATTTTGACCAAGAGGTACAGCTCATTTTCTTTTGCTTTAGGCGGAATTAAATACTGAGTGCTTCATGTTTTAAATAACAGATTAACTTATTCCCAGCTGAATTTAAAAGAATATAACTGAAAATTTCGTTCCACCTTCCTCTTCCATTCAGACCAATTGGACGCTGGAATTTGTTTATCCCTCGGGTCACAAGGGATAAGTAAATAAGTAAATAAATATATAACGATTTAGTGGCGCTAGCTCATCCACATAGTGGTTCTTTGTCTGCCATTCTGGCTCAAATTTACCCTGCGTAGCTGGCGGGATTAACGTGGGAGTGATGTATTGTTTTGGCGGCGATGGCGGAATAACGGTAAGAGGCAACAAAACTCAACCAAGCCGACCACATATGATGTTGCCTGAGGAATCAAGCACAGGACAGTCATTAATGAGAGGGGAGTGTTCTTTCCTGAAATCCAGTAGAACCTCTATGTAACGAACGCCTCGGTATAATTAACAATTCTTCTACCAGTGTGCGTTGGATATGAGATGTTAGAGAGTCCGTATTAACGGAGGGACCTTATTAAGCGGGTAGAAAATGTAAAGGCTTTCTGTCCCCAGGGACAAAGCAAACTGTTCGTAACAATGAGATGTCTGTATTGAGCGGGTTTCCATACCGGAGCGGGGTTTGACTGTACAATAAATAAAAGGAACCTCGATATAACAATTTAAACCTCTTTATAGTGAACATATTTTGCCAGTCCTTTGGGTCTTCGTTCAGCTGTTCGTTACATCAAGATTCCAATGTAAAGTGTTATGTGATTCTTAAAGAGAGAAAACGAGACGCCGAATAGCTATTGAAATCAACACTTAGTAGCACAGGCCATATTGGTGGAAGGTAAGAGAAGTAGGGTTTATCCGATCAACCGATCGTTAGAGCGTCTTAAAAGACGGCGTGAAGAGACAAGTCGCAAAAGAGGGAACCAGTGGGATAAACAAAATCAACACGTAAAAACTCCAAAGCGTTGTGATGCCCTATATATTGTCACAAATACTCAGGAGGGGAGGGTAAGATTAGGAATGTTACCTCCTACGGTTGCACAAAAAAATGGTAACGATTTTCAAATAATATTTGCTCATCATATCTTCTTGTCATCTAATACAGGTTTCTTTCCTAAAGCTGCGAAGATTTCTTCCCCCCAGGTTCCGTTGGAAGCCTACTTCAATGTCACTTTAGAGTGCGAAGTAGGTGTTAGGCCAAGCGACTGTTGGGACAATTCTTTACGGTGGTATTTTAACAACAACTCAGGGAAATTAGAATCTGGTGAAAAGTATGATATACAAGAAAGGAAAACCAACACCAACTGCAAAACAGATTTCATTCTCACCATTGTTAACGTTACTGAAGCAGACGAGGGAAAGTATAAATGTGAGTGGCTCTGCGAGGAGGACTACCCCAGCTTTTCGAGGTCTTCAATTATCCAGTTGAAAGTATTTCCTCCTTCAGAAAAAGGTAATGTTACTCCTGTGATATCTAAAAGTCTTGTGTCACCAATTTATTCCTGGGTATGTGCCGCTGGCCTCTCAGAGCCCCTACGCCATTATAGTCTATTCTGTGGCCAATTATAGACCATATCTTAGTCACTTTTGTGCAAATGTGTAATTTTCGCGATCCCAACTTAGTCACTTACTATTTTTATGAATTGACCCATTTTTTAGATTGAAGAAAAACATTTTACTTTTCATCTGCAGTACAAACATTCTGGTACGTTTGCTAACCGTAAATATGGAGAACTGTCGTACCCCCCAAAAATCCGAAAATATGCTACCCCATTATAATAAATCCAGTCGTGAAAATGAGACCACAGCCAGCGGCACGTCCCCATTAGCCTCTTATAAGAAAGTACTCCCACCCCACCCCCCACCCCCTCGGGCTCAAAACAGTAACACAGCAAATGCAAAAGGAGCCGTGTCATGTGAGGACAAGCTTGAAAGGTTGAAACCGATTGCAACTGATTTTTTCATTAGAAAACGGAGAATCCAATCCGAAGAATAACTCGCAATTGTATATCAGTAACTTTATTCGGTCTGAAATAAAATTGAACAAATATATTCTATTCAAAAAGTGTAATCAAATAATTGATACATGAAACTAGAAAAAGCGGAATAAATTCCGATAAAAGCTAAACGTTGATACCAGCGAAATCACGTAGTTCTTGAAACAAACTCAATTTAAGCTACTTCAACTCTGTTTGAAAAGTAACGAAAGGAAGACTAAATTAACAAAACGAAAGTAACATACAGTTCACTTACTTCTATGGCGACTGTTTTCTTAAATGTCCTTGAATACGCATTAAATCGGTCCGGGTAGCAGGTAAACTGTTAACACTTTCATCCTTGCAGTACGGCGGTCGGTAAAAAACTTATAAAAACTCGAACAAAGCGGGTACTTTTGTGCTTTCCGTTGGGCGTTTACGGTTTTCCTACTTTTGCCAGCAAGATTAAATATAAAAATTCCTTGAATAGTTCGTTTACTACGTTAACACTGAGGTTTTCGAATACTCAAATAGCCTAAAAGTTTTTCAAAATTCATTTTTTTTGCCTGTAACTTTTCATATAATGTTTGGGGAACAAATGTGTTTGACATGAAGCAGTGATTTTGTCATTTGCAAGTGATTTCTTAACTTACGCTGAGTTCCATTGAGAATAAGGACATGTTTGGCAATATTATCAAAATGAACCAGCAAACCATAACGTCATAGCCCATTTGTTTCGGTGAGAGGGTACTCCCTTTGTAAGGGAATTGTGTAAAACCGTTTGGGTCTGAAATAGGGAAAGGTTTTGCGCCGTTTGGATACAGGGTCTGAAATTACATGTTCGTGCATGAGTTTTTGATATTTTTGTTGTTGCTATTGTTTTAAATCATCCGCCTTCAGGTCTGTGAATAGGGTAGGAAAAGTCGTACTCTACCGAAACAGGTGGACAGCGAATTCCATAAATACGTGCACTTGACATTTCCTTTCAAACGGATAGCAAAATGGAAGGGTAAAGTTTACTTCTGTTTTTGAAATAATTATAGTGTAAATTATAGCTTAAAATTTCTACTCGTGTGGGGCTATTGATTACTAGGTGCCAGACAGCAACTCTGTCGCAATACCCATGCAGGGGACGGCGAATCATAACACCCTCCTTTATCTGCATAATCGTTTCACATGATACAATAGTCGAATCAGAATCCAGCATTGCATCTGGGTTGAGTAATGTATTAAGTTCCAGACCTCTTATATTTTAGGGCAGGTTTTGCACATGCGCAGTTGCATTAAAAGAATGACTGTCAAATGGTTCGTTTCGTGTTGTTGTTTAAGACCAGAATATTACTAGGATGGTGCTTGTAGGTTAAGTTGGAGAGTATGTGGACGGTAAAGAAGATATTGCAAGTTTTATCGAAAGAGTGGAATTGTATTTTGCGGCGAATTATGTCAAGGCGGATTACAAAGTTGCTACGTTTCTAGCGTTTATCGTAGCAGATGCATATGGCGTGCCGCGAAATTTGTTAGCCAATGAACGTTTAAAATACAAGTGTTTTGTGCAATAGTATGAAAAGGTGACTGAACGATTTAGAAACCCAGCACTAATTTCAAAGTCACTGATCAATAAGTTCCTGGAGATATCAGCAGATCAGGATGAAAACAATTTGACAACTCGCGCAACATATATTGTGAGAACATTCATGGAGCAGGCTTAAGACCAGCAACTAATATGCAGCAGATTGTTTCAAAGCTAGCTCCAAAAATTGCAGTAAGGTGAAACAGGCAAAAATTAAAGCTACAGCCCAAATAAGTTGACCTTAGCGACCTAGATGAGTGGCTGAAACCGAGAGTCAGGTCGAAGTGATAGCCTTTGGTTGCCCCAGTAATATAGAGAATGCTGAAAAAGAGAAACCTAAGTAAAATTCAAACAAATCGAAGTGGCTCAGGAGAAAGAACATTCGAAGACTCATGTAATGTTTTGTGAGCTAAGAAAAACATGTACTGACATTGCATGAAACCTGGAAGAATCAACTGTAAGTGAACGATGGTAATTATGAGAGAAGTTGGGTTTGTGCTTTAGATGCCACAGTAGAGGACATCGTCGGCTGAGACATTCCAGTCCTCGCAAGAAACCACAGGAAAGACGTCATCACCTGAAGTACCAACTAATCACACGAACTGTTGAGGTTCTGAAGACTTGAACCGCTAAGTGTACCACGCCCTGAAAGCCAAGCGCTGCAGATGATACCCACCATATTGATGGTGGGTCTGGGACGTCCTTCCTCAAGAGGAGATCGCTGACATACTGGGTTTGTACGCACTCTGTGTTGCTGCTTTTGGAACGAAGTCGAATGTAACGGATAGCAAAACTGTAACTGTCCGCCAGCCTTGAGGGTATGAATGAGAGCAACAAGAAGCACTTATTTTTTGTGGAAATTTGTGAAATGAAAGCAATTGATTGGTTCGTCAATGCAAGAAATTAGATCAAAATCGCAACCTGGAGATCATAAGGGCAGTTCAACATGTAGAAGTTGACTGAGAAGTGATTATTATGAGGAACTCATTTTACCACTTGAATATCGCAAAGGACATCTGGGGGAGCCTGTAAGAGTAAAGAAAACCACTCGCATAGACGATAGTTGGAAATGTCTCGTATGAAGCAAACGAGTGTCATGAGGCTTGCCATGTTTACACATATACCATGCAACCTTTACTTCATAAATGAGGGCCGATGAGCTAATGCAGAGAATGTGGGACGAAGACGTTGTGGGAATTGCTGATCAAAACAAGCGCTTGACAGCGGAGGAGGTGCTTGCTGCGCGCGAAGAGGCACAATCAAGGCGTTATGCTGAGGGGCTGTGAAGTGGCAATTCCATGGACGCTGATACGCCGTTGTGTTCAAACAGGAAGACTGCTGAAGACCGACTTATCTCTTAAGAAACACTTTCAGCCACGGCTGGAGGTTGCTGAGAAATACTGCCAGGTGATAGAAGCCAAGGTCTGAAAGAATGAATCCAAGGGTTACTTCCGGATTAGATCCAGTTGGTACCTACCTCATTTTCAAGTGAGGATAGTCTAAGATTCAGTAGCCATATACGCAGGAATAATAGCATGTTGCATATACGGAGGAATAATAGCATGTTGCCTGGACCAAAGCTGAGCAAGATGTTTTTTGTAATGCACTATTGCGTTTTCGCAGCTATCTTGTGGCCTTGGTAGCAGATCTGACGGAAATTTGAGAATGGAGGTTACACCTCTCTAGACTTCCAGAAGTCTATGAAGCAATGAGCTTGACGTTCGATGACCGCGCCTCACTTTACCTTGTCCAGTACGTTGAGCGACAAAACGCAGAAGATAACAGAAATGACCACCCGCTAGCAATAGGCGTAATCCTATTACAAGTGTACGTGGATGACATTATGACTTCATTGAACACTAACGATGAAACGATTAAAGCTCGAGAATAGCTTAGGGAGCCACTTGGCAAGGCAGGCTTCAAATTTGGTCTGGGTGTAGTAACAGGCCAGAACTACCTTGCATGAAAGCATAATAAGGAAAGCAATAAGATGATGAGACGGATGTGTTTAACCTTTTTCAAGTTGAATCCCCTGCAGGATGTTGTCTATACTAGGCGAAGGTTCGTAAAGAAATTTTCTATGCTTTTTTACCCATTACAGATGCTAAAGGAAGGATTGATTTGCAGGGAACATGGTTACTGGGTTTAAAATAGGACGACTTAAAGTACACGTATCAAGAATAAATTATTAATGATGCAGTGAGTTACCAGAATTTTTTAGAGGACATTTTTCAAGGTGCTATCGCATTGCTGAGAACATTGTTGTTTACACATCTATTCATACAATGGGGGACGCGTCGCTGTTGGCATATGTAGATGTAACTTACGTTGGGCACAAATATGAAGATGCAGCTCGAGAAGAAAAGGGGAAGCAGGTTAGAGCTCTTGGCAAGAAAGAAAGGTGTAAGAGTTGTTGGAGATTCCCTTCGAAAGCTGTACAGTGACACGCTGAACAGACAGTAAGGGCGTCTTTTTCTGGATCCAGGGTCAGTCGAGGAGGTGTTAGACTTCTGTCGTCAACGTAATATTTAACAATTACTCCTCGAACCCGAATGGGCTCTGATTCAATAGTCCATGAGGCCGAAGGCCGAATGGGCTATTGGCTCAGAGGCCATGAAGGCAAGAGGAATGATTGTTTTAGTAAAATCCAACTAGTTGGTAAAAAAACATCGAGACAAAACAACTAGCTAGTTAAAGCTAGACTTTAATCCTTTTTTGCCGCCAAAAAGCCGGCGCTTTTCGCTACTAGTGGGCTATAACATATATCCTAGTAGTAGCTCAACCAATCAGAACGCAGCATTGATAATAGACCACTAGCTGAATTTTACTAACAGATTTATCATACGCCTAACCCTAGACAGTGGAGACAAGTACAAGTCTTTTCTTGCCAACCGAGTATCAAGATTCATCAGACGCCTAACCCCAGATAGTGAAGAGACTTACAAGACTTTTGGCGCCATCTGAGTATTGGAAATTAATCAAACGTATATCTAGAACCTCAATGAATTGGTGTTTGGTCCCAGGAGCCGTTGGATACTGATTCTTAACCTGGTAAAGCTGTTCTGGAGGCACTGGAGAAAAGAGTTTCTGGCAACACTTAATACCCAAATGAAATGGAGGGAGGAGACGGACAACCTAAAAGTTGGGGATGCTGTGTTCGTTGTCGATCAAAATGCTCCAATCGGTCGGTGGTAGTTCTTTCGCATCAGGATGGACAGGTACGCGCTGTGCAAGAAGCTTATCCACCCAACAACACGACTGTGTTTATTGAACGTCGCTGACCAGCCATAGTCCTAAAGAGAGGAGCTGAGGATCTGGAACTCCTTGTAAGCTCCAGGTGATACCCCTGCGTAGGGGACTGAAACTAGTCAAGTAAAAAGTTCCCTAAGAACCTGGAAAATTGGCTGTTGTGTGTTCTTGTTTGAACCAGGCTTTGGAACAGAATTTCTCACGCCTGAAAAAATCCAAAAGGCGAGTTTCATACCGCCATGTATGTTCCAGGTTTCCGCAGGTATACCACAACTTCCAGGGGCTATACCTTCCTTTACTGCTCGCGTTGATGGCATCCAACAGTTCTTTGAATTCATGTTTTTCCTCAAGGCATGCAATGTTTACGGGTCAGCAAGCAGAACTATACCAGGAAACGCAACGGCGAAACAGGTCAGCACGACATCAGTATATGCATTTCCGTGGAATAACTGCGAGTTTGCTCGATTTACGCGCACTCTTGGGTCTGCTCTAATGTTCCTCCCCGAGGAGGGACTTTTCGGGGGTCCATTTCCCAAACAGTGGCTGGTAATCAAGCCTAATTGCGAGTCAAAGTTATTCGAACTCAGGGGCTCTCAGGGGTTGAGCTTTTTCGAACTGTTATCAGCGAAACAACTGTAAAACAGATTACTTTTAATATTAAATCGGTGTTAGAAATATGTTGATGATATTACTTACAGTCGGAAATATGCAGTAAGAATACTAGAAAAACACTCGATTTGTTAAAAACAGGGACGGCATGGAATCATTGGGAAATGATGACGTTTCATCCCCGAACTCCCGCAAGTATGAATTGGTTGGGGATGACGTAAAACAGAAAATGCCCGAAGGGTCCGCTTGGGTTGATTTTGTGACATTTACTGCACCTTTATTCTTCTACTTGTGTGCGTTTCGTCTGTTCAGTGACACTTTGTGAAGCAGCTGTTTTGAAGCTATTAAAAAAAATGCAATTTACATTTCTTTGTCTCACCTTGTTCTCTTAAACAAGCGTCATAAACTCTGACCACGAAAGAGAAAATATCGAGTTTGACCAAAATTATGGACCGAAGAAACTCAGTAAGAGTGGATTTACGTTTTGAGAGGCGAATAACAGTGTATAAGCACTGGAGGGTTTGCCAGACCCATGTTTATCATTCACAAATCTTCTTTTGGATTAGCTCTCCCTCGCTTCATGAAACTCATCCTGATGCAATCGATACAAGTAAATCTTTGATTGGAAATGATTTTACGGACATACCTAAATCACTTTGAGGAAATTATTGAGAGGCTCAGTCTAACAACAAGCAAGTTGCATTAAGAGAACGCTTGAATCAAGCTAGCGTATTAGCAGAAGGATGCACGATTACAGACATTTGCCTACAATTCATTTCTGTGCTGACGTATTCCCTCTTTACAAATTTTCCTTTTCATTTCCAAATTCTTTCTTTGGCTGTCAAAATGAATTGCATGTAAAAAGTGCAAGAGGAATAAAGGAAATTACACCTTCTAATAAAATCTTTCCTTATAGTTAAAAGAATTCTTGAAACTGAGAGTGTTTTGATCAAAGCAGTGTAAATCGATTTGAATCAGTGCATGGAATCTTGCGTTTTTTGTTTTTATCTCCCCAATATGATATCAATATGAATATGTAAATTTCAAAGAGCTACACAAGAGTCATACAAAGACAAAAGATACAATTGACCCAAAAAAAAGGGGACGTAATGTCAACTACATTAAACACCCGCATATATATAAGAACCAACACTGTAACTCATATGTTTACTTATACAAGTAATCGTATTTGTTTCTCTTTTCATTTAAAATTTCCTTTTTTTCATATCGATGAAAGTAATATGTTGAGGACGTTTCCCCTTTACCAACTTTATTTGCAGATTCTTCGACACCATCGTCACAAAAGACCACTAGCTCGACTTCAACAGGTCAGTGATGTTAAGGGGTGGTCACTAAGTATAGTGTTGCAATGGGACTAATTGCAGTGGCGGATCCAGACCTTCAGATAAGGGGGAGGGGGGGCGGTCATCCAGACCCTTAGATGGGGGGTCTTAAAAATTTTTTTTCCACCTTTCAGGCCTCAGTTTGGTCCAAAAATAACGGGAGGCCCGGCCTCCTCGGGCCCCTCCCGGCCTGGATCCGCTACCAGTGGCTACTGAATTGCCAACCAAATCTAAAAATAGTATCCAGATCATTATCACGTTTCAAATAATACGAAACAGTGGAAGAAAACAGACCCACCCTGGGTCGCTGGACTTTATGGGAATTTAAAAGTAAAACTCGGGGTCACGGCCAGGGCCGAGGTCGGGGTCTATCCCTTTTTTTTAAAGACTACTGTTTTAGGGTTAGGGTTACCGTTATGTTAGGGTTGTCCTTAATGCTCCAACGACAACGACATTTAAATTTAGGCGCGTGTGCGGGGTTTGCTCTGGCGAATTGTGATTGGCTAGGAAGAACAATTGCCTTCTATCAAGTATTTTTCCAGCAGGGGAGGGTGGCTTTGGGCGAATGATGTATCGGTCCCCAGAAAGGTCACCCGGGTTTCCGGGATGGATTTTTTTTGTACTGTGCCCAGGCCTCATTTTCTTGGCCGCGCGTTGATCTGGCCCGGCTAGATGGCATCTCGTGTCTCCTACCTTGTATATTATTATTGTATATAGAGTGATTTTCGTTCATTGAGGACAACGACAACTAACTGCAGAGTAAGTTTCATTGATCTTTATTTAGTATTTTCTAGAAATTTTAGGATCGCATTTTTACCCCATACAAACACTATAATTTTACTGGAACCGTACTGTGGTACTATCACAGAGCCTGGGTTACCTGTGGTAGGCCTTTCCCGGTTGAGCTCGGCAACTTTTGGCGCTTGGAACAAATTTTTGCGGTTCTAGCAACCTCGAGCAAATTTTGCCTTTCTGAGCAACTTTTGAGCAAAATATAGGTTTAGTGGCCCCTCGGTTTAAAGCACATATCATACGCGAAAAAGTCAACGATTTCATAGAAAACTTCAATGTTTTTAATTCCTTTTTAAATGTTTTTTAAAAATGTTTTTAATCTTTTTTTCTTGACTGATGTTAGTATTGTGAAGAACGGAAAATAATCTTTTAATATATAAATTAATAATTTATATAAAAATATCAAGAAATTTAGGAGGCAACTTTTTGGTATTCCAGTGAGCAACTTTCCAGCATTTTACGAGCACAATTGGGAAAGGCCTAATCCCGGGGGGATACTACCTATAATGGCATATACGGGGGCTCAAAAAGGGGTACTTTTTTCAGGCATTAGATCGATGAAAGGGTAGGGATTTTACTTGTTAAACTATATGAAAGGGTGGTTCTATCTCAGCGATCGTCGTCGCTGCGAACTCTGAAAAGTCAGGTTTCCATATGATCGCTATGATCGCTGCGATAGCTGAACTTTTGTTTCTCAGCGATCGCAGCAATCAGAGCGATCGTAGCGATCATATGGAAACCAGGCTTTTAAGCTCCCTGTTAGCCTGTGTCAGGTCGCAGACATAATGTACCAGTCAATAACAAAACTGCCCATGCCCCTGCGCAGACCCTTGGGAATCTGATTTTATTTGGAAGGTTTTGGTCAAAATACGCGGAATGTTGGCAGTTTAGATGGTCAAATACCCCACCGGCTAGCCCTTCAAAAACTGTCAAATCCTCCACTCCATTAGTGACTCTCCATGATCAAAAATTTTCCCCATGCGTCAAACCGTTTATTCAAATCTAAATTTCCTTCTCCACACAATCGAAATATCTCAAGTCTAGGAAAACTGTCTTAAGGAGATTTCTTCAATCCAATAACATTTTTCATTTCAGAAAGCCCACATTTTCTTTCAAGTTACGTGAAAACGGACGCAATGTTGGGAGTTGTTGGCCAACAATGTTGCTCCAACAATGTTGCGTCCGTTTGCACGTAGCTTCAAAGGCTCTCTTATGCTCCAACAAAACAGTGATATAGGAGCAATGACGTTAATAATCCTTGAACGTGATGTACACGCGGAACGAAACGCTGACCAACATTTTGACACGAAAGTCAATGCCCGACAGGTCGGGCCTCATTTTGGGTCAAATTCCCCACTGTACGGAAAAATGCCCGGGGTATG